TATGATACATAGTACATGTCTGAGTAACAAAATAATTGATACATAAGGGATGACAGAATTGAAAAATAACTTTTTTTTGCAACCACTGATAAAATAATGGATAATATTTATGGTTAACAAAACTATTGGGTAAAAGATAATAAAGAGAGCAGATAATGCCTCTTGAACCTCTAATTAATATTAGCATTAGTAAAAGTAAGTCAACTAGACATTATATATCTTTTGGTATAAAGGAAGGGCTCCTGAATTACACAAAATGTTATATGCATATACGTACAGGTCTCTGTGAGGATATAGTCTATGGCTTTTACTAAATTCTCAAAGAGATCTGTGGTCCTGCTTCTCCCATATTAAGAAATTACTGCCTTATATCCAAATTAATACAATAAACTCTTACTTAGTGTTCCAGCTGCGTCAGGCTCTTGATTTAAATCTATCCCAATTTGTTAATCTTCCCATTTTTGTAATAGCTCTGTAACTTCAGCTCTACCTTCACTCTCAATGTAACCAGTGAGTACTCCTTCTTTACATCTAACTACAATTCATTTTTTAAAAAGATTTTTAATTGATTTTTACAGAGAGAGGAAGGGAAAGTGAGAGAGAAACATCAATGTGAGAGTGAAATTTTTTTTTTTATTAGTTAAGGTGTTACAAATGTGTCCTCATTCCCCCCATTAACCCCCAGCCTCCCCCCTAAAGTGAAATATTGATTGCCTGCCTCCTGCATGCCCCCTACATGGCACCATACATAGTTATTATAATATTATTGACTATATTCTCTATGCTGTACTTTACATCCCTATGACTATTTTGTAACTACCAATTTGTACTTCTTTTATTTTTTTTTAAAATATATTTTATTGATTCTTTACAGAGAGGAAGGGAGAGAGATAGAGAGCTAGAAACATCGATGAGAGAGAAACATCGATCAGCTGCCTCCCGCACATCTCCTACTGGGGATATGCCCGCAACCCAGGTACATGCCCTTGACCGGAATCGAACCCGGGACCCTTCAGTCCGCAGGCCGATGCTCCATCCACTGAGCCAAACCGGTCTCGGCCCAATTTGTACTTCTTAATCCTCTCACCTTTTCTACCCAGCCCCTCAACCCTCCTCCCGCCTGGCAACCCTGTTCGTTCTCTATATCTATGAGTTTGTTTCTGTTTTGTTTGTTCATTTATTTGTTCTTTAGATTTGCCATATAAGTGAAATCATATGGCATTTGTCTTTCTCTGTCTGACTTAGTTCACTTAGCATAATACTCTCTGGTTGCATCCATGTCCCAAATGGTAAGATTTCATTATTTTTTTATGGCAGAGTAATATTCCATTGTATGTACATACCACATCTTCTTTATCAAACTGTCTATTGATGAGCACTTACGTTGCTTCCATATCCTGGTTATTGTAAGTAATGCTGCAATGAACATAGGGGTACATAAATCTTATCAAATTAGTGTTCTGATATATTTATTAAATGTTTCCAGATATTATAAAACACTCGTCTAGGCACTGTTTGTATCTACTGGTTTAGGAGTAAGATGACTCAGATTTGAGTGACATTCCAGTCAAGAAACCCTGAGTAATAAATCATTTACATGTCTAGCCTTATGAATCACTTTTTAAAAAGTTTTTTTTTTTTAAATATATTTTATTGATTTTTTACAGAGAGGAAGGGAGAGAGATAGAGAGTTAGAAACATCGATGAGAGAGAAACATCGATCAGCTGCCTCCTGCACATCTCCTACTGGGGATGTGCCCGCAACCCAGGTACATGCCCCTGACCGGAATCAAACCTGGGACCCCTCAGTCCACAGACCGACACTCCATCCACTGAGCCAAACCGGTTTCGGCAAAAGTTTTATTTCTTACAAGTTTTTTATTTGTTAATTCTCATCTGAGAATTTTTTTTCCTCATTGATTTTGAGAGAGAGAGATGTAACATCGGTTGGTTGCCTCTCACAGGGGGGATTGAACCTGCAAGCCAGGTACATAACCTTGACTGGGAATTGAACCTGTGACGCTATGGTGCGTGGGCTGACGCTCTAACCACTGAGCACACCAGCCAGGCAAGGTTCTCTTTTCATAACAGAAGGGCAATAACACCTGGTTGGATGGTCCAAATGAACTAATATATGTGAAATGGACAGAAATAAGTCATAATAAAAGGTTTTTGAACTGGTACTTCTCCTTTGGCTTCCCTACTTGGAGCATCAATATTTAGGGTTCACTCCTTAACTTGGAACAATTTGAAGAGAACAAAGGACAATCTGAGAATGAATTCACACAAGAATAACATGGTTTACTGTAAATTAGCATAAGTATAATAGTTTATGACTCTAAGGAATATATAATAGACTTCTAATTTATAGTTCCAATTTATGAAGAATTGGGGAAAATCCTTGGCCAACTGTGGTCTGGTTTAATTCAGATACTTCTTTTCTGAGATTGTCCAAAATTTTCTGAACCTCTTCTAAAAATCCCATATTGTTGTTTTTCACTTATCCTGAGATAAACTGCTTTGTTTTGGAACCCTTAGTACTCTGTGGAATATACAGGTTGGTTTTTTTTCTGGTTGCGAAACTAAACTTTGATAGAATCATTTACCAGTTGTAATTAGTCACTACTTTTTTTGAAAGATTTTTTTTTCTTTTTTTGAGAGAGAGAGAGAGGAAGGGAGAAGGAGAGAAACACTGATGCAAGAGCAGAACATTGATTGGCCATTTCCTGCTTACTCTCCACCAGGGATTGAGCCCGCAACCCAGGCATATACCCTGACCAAGAACTGAAACAAAAACCAGTCAGGGCACTACTTCTTTAATGCATACCTTTGCTGTCAGACTTCACCTTGGCTCCCTCTCTCTCTTCCTGAAATCTGAGAGCCCTATACCCGGCCTCCGTTGGCAAATCAATGTTAAATGTAGTTCCTTTTGGTGAAGAGATACTTTCAGAACTGATCTATCCTGAAAATGGATCTCCACTATAATGATATTTGAACACAAAATACTACTAGACATACTCTCTGATTACTGTAACTTGGAGTTTTTTTTAAATACTAGAGGCCCAGTGCATGAATTTGTGCATGGGTGGGGCCCTTAGGGGTGGCTTATGGGAATCGGGCCCCAGCTCATGCTCCCAGCCTCACAGCCCTGCAGCCCTGCCTGGCACCCTGCCTTGGCCTGGCATTGCCCCCTCACTTGCTCCACCATCGCACTTGTGGGGCGATCAATTGGGGCCAGGCCCCCCCGCCCTGGCTCCCTCAGTGTCTGGGAGCCGGGCAGCAGCCCAACTCCCCGCCGCCACTGCTGGTCACCATCTGCGGGGCCTGGCGCCACCCGCTCACCCGCTCCACCATCCTGCCGCAGTCCTGCTATCGTTGGGGCCCATCGGGGCCAGCAGCATCTCTACTGCTGCCCACTGCCAGCACTGCATCGCTGATGCCCACCATGTTCCGTGCCACCCCCTGGTGGTCAGCACATGTCATAGCGAACTCCCAAACTCCCCATTGGACAATTTGCATATTAGGCTTTTATTATATAGGATTTCACATCCACCAATGAGTGGGACATAAATGCACTTTCAAAAGTTTAACTTCTGTGATGAAATGAGTTTACTTTTCTTAATTTCTTGGCTTTTTTAATTTTAAAAAGTCTTTAAATCATTTCAGCTTTGTCTCAAGAAGTATAAAATTTTGCCCTTCACAGGGAAGTCTGGAGCTGGGAGATATGCTAGAAGAAAGGTGAGACAGCAAGGAAACTGCATTCCTGCCTTAGCCTCAGGGCTTCTTTCACCATGCCTGAGAAGACTGAGACAAAAGTGAAAAGCCAAGAAACTCAAGCAGCCTCATAATTACAGCTATCTATGACTTATGTAACATCAAAATGTGATTTTTGTCAAACAAGGCAATAATCTATAATAATAAAAGCATAATATGCTAATTAGACTGGACGAAGCCAGGGCTGTGAGGGAAGCCCGGGTCCCAGGTGCCAAAGGGAAGCTGGTGCCAGCAGCTGGGTGAAGGAAGGCCTACTCTTGCACTGATTTCATGCATTGGGCCTCTAGTGATAAAAATAAGTTATCTTAATTCTTTTTGTTACATAAATATGTCTCAATTGCCCTAGTTGGTTTGGCTCAGTGGATAGAGCATCGGCCTGTGGACTGAAGGGTCCTGGGTTCGATTCTGGCCACGGGCATATGCCTGGCTTGTGGGCTCGACCTCCAGTGGGGGGTGTGTAGGAGGCAGCCAATCAATGGTTCTTTCTCATCATTGATGTTTCTGTTTCTCTTTCCTTCTCCCTTCCTCTCTGAAATCAATAAAATATATTTAAAAAAATATGTCTCAATTAATAAAGTGTATTATTAAGGCAATTAATTGTCCTTCCTTAGTTATTTATGTAAGACACTACGATTCTTCCCTGGTTCTTAGCCTCAACTTTGTACCACAGCTCACCCTCTAGTACAGTTTGCTACTTCTTGTCTTCCAGAATGGGGCTGGGAGGCAGAGGGATTCTAAGTTTCTGGTCATTATTAGAAACAACAACAACCACAAAACCTTATCTCTATTCAAATCTGCAAATATAGCAGCAACCACAATTTTAGTTTAAAAGTTTATGTTTGCTATAGGGAAATTTAAAACTAGAACATGATAGAAAAGTAGACTTCTCTGAATCACTTTTCACATCATCAATATAATCCTCAGTCTCCTTCAGGACTCTTTTTTATGGTGATCCCAGGACTTACCTGATGAACGTAATGAAAAGATTGCTTTAAAAAAACAACCTAATAACAGAATATTGTCAACTTATCACACTGTTTCTCAAATAATGGTACAGAAGATTTAGGTGGTACATCAATGAATATTTTCAATTTTAAAGTTTATAGTGACATTGATGGAAATTAGAACAAATATAATTAGCATATAAAACTCAATTTTCATAAATAATATTTCCTAAGAAAAGGCTAAAAATTGAATCCCTTAAAATTTTAAGTAAACACTATATATGGTAAAACTGTAAATGAAGTGTGCAAATGCTGAAGTTTGAGAAATATTGCTCTTTTCTGTTTATTTCAAGTTTATGTGACTAGTTACACTATGTCATTGCCTTGAGTAATCAATGTTTGTATAATTTAAGAACTTTGCCATAAAACTTACAGGTGAATAATCACAGGTTATTGCATACAGAATTTCTGGTCATTAAAAAAGTTTTATATCAGATTTGGAACATGACTTCTAATATAATCTTGTTTATAAAATAAGTTATGTTTACTATTTACAACCTCTCTTGTGGTTATAATATGCTACCAGTTTAAAGTCTAAATTTATTTGGTGTCTATGCATTAAATGTTTGTTTATAAACTTTCCATTATGAATAACTTTATATTGAATGGGATGAAAAAGTATGACAAAAAAATTTCTACATTTATATATTCATATTATTTCTCCCCCAGGAGTTATGTACTGCTGAGTAAGTGAAGGACCGTGGCTTAAAACTTTCTCACATTTATTGTATTCACATAATTTCTCCCGAGTATGGATTTTCCTATGTTGATTAAGGTGTGCACTCTGGCTAAAGGCTTTCTCACATTCATTACATTTATAGGGCTTCTCTCCTGTATGAGTCCTCTCGTGCTGATTAAGATGTGTCTTCTGGCTAAAGGCTTTCCCACAAAAATTACATTCATAAGGCTTCTCTCCAGTATGAAGTCTATGATGTTCAGTAAGGGATGTGATACGGCTAAAGGCTTTACCACATTGATTACATTTGTAGGGCCTCTCTCCAGTATGAATCCTCAGATGTTGAGTAAAGGATGAATGTTGACGAAAGGCTTTCCCACAGTCATTGCATATAAAAGGTTTTTCTCCTGTATGAATCCGCTGATGTTGAATAAGATGTATCTTCTGGCTGAATCTTTTCCCACATTCATCACACTTATAGGGCTTCTCTCCTGTAAGGACTATCTGAGGTTGAGTAAAAGTTGAGTTGTGGCTGGAGGTCTTCCTACATTCACTGGGCTCTTCAGTATGAATATGATTAGTAAGAAAAATATGTTGATTGAAGATTTTCCCACATCCATTATATTCATAAGTATTTTCTCTTACATGGTTTCCCTGATAGTAAATCAATCCTGAATTATGTTTGATGCCATTTCCTTGTGTTTTCGAATTAAGGGGTATCTTAATTGAAGAAATTCGCTGATGCATAAGATTTGAGATCATTTTATAGTTTCCCCCAAATTCGTTACATCCAGGGCTTCTCTCCTGTGGGAACTTTCTTTCGGCAAAAGATTCTTGTCCTAAATGTCTCTGGTGATTTTCTTGATTAAACTCTAACTGATAATCAAAATCCCAGAGTCCTCCTAAAATGGAGTACCAGAAACTATCTCCTGTTAGTCTCTCCATTATCATGTTATGGGTTTGAATTTCATCAGAAATACTCTGGTTTGGAGTTGATTTTTTGACTTCAGGTCTATTTTCTGCATCTAAAAGAAGTTCAGAACAAATTAAGAAGTACAAATTGATAGTTACAAAATAGTCATGGTAATGCAAAGTACAGCATGGAGGATATATTCAATAATGTTATAATAACTACTAGAGGTCTGGTGCACAAAAATTTGTGCACTCGGGGGGGGATGGGGGGGTCCCTCAGCCCGGCCTGTGCCCTCTCGCAGTCTGGGACCCCTCGGGAGATAACGACCTGCTGGCTTAGGCCTGCTCCCGGGTGGCAGAGGGCAGGCCCAATCCCTAGGTGCAGCCCCTGGTCGGGCTCAGAGCAAGGCCGATTGGGGAGTTGGGGCGCCACCCCCTGTCATGCACAGAGCAGGGCGGATTGGGAGGTTGCGATGCCACCCCCAGTCACGTTCAGGGTAGGGCCGATGGGGGGGGTTGGGGCACCGCCCCTGTCACACTCAAGGCAGGGTCGATGGGGAGGTTGCGGCGCCATCCCATCACGCACAGAGCAGGGCCCATCAGGGGGTTGGGGAGCTCCCCCCTGTCACTCATAGAGTAGGGCCGATAGGGGAGTTGGGGCACCACCCCCTGTCACACACACAGCAGGGCCGATCAGGGGGTTGGGGCGCCACCCTCTATCACCCACAGAGCAGGGCTGATCAGGGGGTTGGGGCGCGGCCACTGTCACACTCAGGGCAGGGCCGATGGGGAGGTTATGGCTCTACCCCGTCACACACAGAGCAGGGCCCATTGGGGGGGGGGGGTTGGGGCGCCGCACCCTGTCACACACAGAGCCGCAGGGCGATCAGGGGGTTTGGGCGCTGCCCCCTGTCACGCTGATCCCGGTGCCTGGAAGCCTCGCAGCTCTGCTGATCCTGGTGCTGGGAGGCATATTACCTTTTTACTATATAGAATAGAGGCCTGGTGCATGGGTGGGTGCTGGCTGGTTTGCCTTGAAGGGTGTCCTGGATCAGGGTGGGGGTCCCCACTGGGGTGCCTGGCCAGCCTGGATGAGGGGATGATGGCTGTTTGCAGCTGGTCACACACCCTTCAGGGTGGGGGTCCCCACTGGGGTGCCTGGCCAGTCTGGGTGAGGGGCTGGGGGCTGTTTTCAGGCTGGCAGGCGACGGAAGCTCCCAACTGCTCCTTTTTTTCTTTTTTTTTTTTTAATTCTGGGCCAGCTTTAGCTCTGGCTCCAGCTCTGAGGCCTCTGCTGCTGGAAGAAGGTATCTGGTTTGTTTAGGTTCTATAATCGAAACTCTGTATCAACTCCAGCTCTGAGATCCCTGCCGGCTGAAAGCTGGTTTCTGGGTTTTTGTTTAGGTTCTATATTTGTTACAATGTTTCTTAAACTGCAGGCTCAGAGGCCAGCAAGGCAGGCGGGAAACGTTGGAGTCCTCCGTCACTGAAGCAAGCAAGCCTCATGTTAGTTTCAAGCTGCCTGGCTTCTGGCCGCCATCTTGGCTGGCAGTTAATTTACATATCTCGCTGATTAGCCAATGGGAAAGGTAGCGGTGATACACCAATTACCATGTTTCTCTTTTATTAGATAGGATATATGGTTCCAGGTACTAATAAAAAACAGTAAGTGGGGGTTTACAGCATAATATTTATTTCTAATGACAAAAAAAGAAAAGAAATTCAGAACATACTAATACTTTGCAGCATTCTTTATGTTTTGAAAAAAAATTGTTGCATAATGAATTACCAAATGAAACTGACAATAATGCAACTGAGGCAGTTGTGGCATTGGAAAGTTTTAAAATGTGGCCATGTAACAAGAGGACAGACTATAAAAAGATGACAAGAAGCAGTGAGTTGGAGGAAAATTTAAAACATGTGTGGTAACCATGAAAGGAAGAGATCATACTGGAAAGAAATGGAAAGGAGAATAAGAAATACCAGAGAAATGTCTGTGCTCAGAGGTGGGAGATATTAGAGAAAAGATTGTCATTAGAGAAGACAGGTCTCATCTGTGACTTATTCTATTGTAAGGACAGCTAACTTGTTTATTTTAAAAGCATTTCTTCATACTTTAAATCTTTTCTGTTGTTGTTAATAATCACCTGAGGATATTTTTCCACTGATTTTTAGAGAGAGTGGAAGGGAGGGAGGGAGCAAGAAACATCAATGTGAGAGAGACATCAATTGTTTGCTTCCTGAACGCACCTTGACCAGGATGGGATCAAACCTGCAACCCAGGCACATGCCCTCGACAGGAATTGAACCTGTGACTCTTTGGTGCAAGAACCTGTAATCACACAGCAACATCTGCCAGGGCTGTATTTTTTTTAAAATATATTTTTATTGATTTCAGAGAGGAAGGGAGAAGGAGAGAGAGATAGAAACATCAATGATGAGAGAGAATCATTGATTGGCTGCCTCCTGCACACACCCCCTGGGGATAGAGCCCACAACCCAGGCATGTGCCCCTAGCCAGAATCAAATCCGGGACCTCTCAGTCCGCAGGCTGACGTTCTATCCACTGAGCCAATCCGGCCAGGGCAAGGGCTGTATTTTTAATCTTTTGTTTAAAATGATAAAACTAATGATTGCTTATACTAATATATTCAAATAATATGGAAATACATAAAGAATCCCACCCCTTAGAGGTAATCATTGTTAATAGTCTGGGTCTTGTCCTGCCAGATTTTTCATATGTCCAGACAAATACAAATGTAAACTGTATTTTGAACAAGCATGACTCATGTATTGTGATAAAAACAAAATTTCATTTCAGTCTCCTGCCACTTTAAAATTTGTTTAGTGGGGGTATTCTTCCTCTGCTTCTACATGAAGATTTGGACAGTTCCCAGGACTTTCCCTTTAATTCTTATGTAACAGATACCCCTATTACATTGTCACAAATGCAGTCTCTATTCAGCAATTAAAATGTTCAGTCACATGTAACAGTAAAAGTCCAAAATGAACCCCTTTCCCCTCTCTTGGGTCTGTTACAGAGTCATATTCTTTCTTCTCTCTCCCTGCCTGCCTATTCTCCCACTCCACTCTCTTCTTGTTCACCCTTCCCCCAATTCTGCTCTCTCCATGCTAGTCTTTTCTCTGACTCTATTCTCTTCGTTCCCCATTTAACTATTTCCATGCTCACCTACCTCTTCCTTCACTCACTAGTGTTGTTTAGTTCCACTCTAACGAAAGTTGGAAGCAGGAGGGATTAGGAGACAGGACAATTTTTGTATGACTGGGTGGCTTCATATTCTCAGTTTAGTGGATGGTTAAACAGAATCACTTTTGGAAACATCTGTGGCTCTTAGGAGGCTCACTCTCCCGTCATTTCTGTGACCTAGATAGATATCTCTCTATTTTGGGTAGTCCCTTGGGACCAGCCCAAGAGCATAAATTCGATTGGCCAAGATCCAAGCTTCTTGCTGGCTGACTCATGCATGAAAAACACTCACGATACCTTGTCCCAACAAGCCTGTGTAGTAGTGCACACTGATCCTAAGTCATCAGCTTCTCCTGGCTCACTCACCAAAGCCATTTCACTGGCCAGCTGTTCTTGGGCCTTGGACTGCTTTAGCTTTCTCAAATGTGAGTCAGGTGCTAGTCTTGATCTTCTGACCATAGGGAATGTACAAGCATCCCGCATTTTATTGCACTCCAGTTATTGCACTTTGCAGATATTTCAGTTTTTGCAAATTGAAGGTTTGTGGCAACCTTACATAGAGCATGTCTACCAGCACCATTTTCCCAACAGCATTTGCTTACTTTATGTTTCTGTGTCACGTTTTGGTAATTTTCACCACATTTCAAACTTTTCCATTATTATTTTATTTATTATGGTGATCTGTGATCAGTGATCTTCGATGTTACTATTGCAATTGTTTTGGGGTGCCATGAACTACCTTTGTAAGACAGTGAACTTAATCTACAAACATGTGTGTTCTGACTGCTCCACTGACGACCATTCCTCTATTGCTCTCCTCCTTGGCCTCCCTATTCCCTGAGACACAACAATATGGAAATCAGGCCAACTAACCCTAAAATGGCACCTAGGTGTTTAAGGGAAAGGAAGAGTTGCGCATTTCTCACTTTAAGTTAAACGCTAGAAATGATTAAGCTTAGTGAAGAAGGCGTGTTGAAAGCTGAGATAGGCCAAAAGCCAGGCTCCTTGTGCCAGTTAGCTTAGTTGTGAATGCAAAGGAAAAGTCTTTAAGGGAAATGAAAAGTGCCACTCCAGTGAACACAAATGATAAGAAAGAGAACAGCCTTACTGCTGATATAAAGTTTTAGTGGTTTGGATAGAATATCAGACTAGCCACAAGATTCCCTAAACCAGAACCTAATCCAGAGCAAGGCCTTAACTCTCTTCAGTTTTGCTGAAGGGTGAGAGAGGGGAGAAAAGTGCAGGAAAAAAGTCTGAAGCTAGCAGAGGTTGGTTCATGAGGTTTAAGGAAAGAAGCCATCTCCATAACATAAAAGTGCACAGTGAAACTGCAAGTGCTGATGCAAAAGCTGTAGCAAATCATCCAGAAGATCTAGCTAAGATGATTAATGAAGGGGGATACATGAAACAGATTTTCAATGCAGATGAAACAGCCTCATATTGGAAGAAGATGTCATCTAGGACTTTCATAGCTAGAGAAGAAGTTAATGCCTAGCTTCAAAGGACAGGCTGACTCTCTTGCTAAAGGCTAATGCAGCTGGTGATTTTAAGTTGAAGCCAGTGCTCATTTACCATTTCAAAAATCTAGGGCCCTTAAATTAGCTAAATCTACTCTGCCTGTGCTCTATAAATTGAACAACAAAGCTCGGATGGCAGCATGCTTGCTTACAACATGGCTTACTGAATATTTTAAGCCCACTGTTGAGACTTACTACTTAGATAAAATGCTTCTTTTCAAAATATTACTGCTTATTGACAATGCACCTGGTCAGCCAGGAGCTCTGATGGAAATGTACAATGAGAGTAATGTTATTTTCATGCTTGCTAACGATAGTGGGGAAGGGCATGTAATAAGAATAGAGCCATAGTTGTCTAATAATTATTCACCTTACTAACTATAGATGAGAAGTTTTCTTACAGACCCTGGGAAACTGGAGGATGAAACAAGGCTGTAAAAAGATAAGATGCTCGATGGGTCCATCACTCAGAAGATAAATACATTTTGAGAACAGACCAAGGACAGGACATTTTGATTTGGTTGCTGTGCCTGGACCCTGACCCCTCCGGGAGTTTTTCTCAGGAATGCTGACCATTCTCTGGTCCCAGGAATGGGCTGAGCTGCTTGTAACATCATAGAAAATTAGCCACCTTGTTATTGGACTTTGAGCTCCTGAAGGCTGGACTTTAGTCCCTCCCCTCCCCTTTCCACGTTACATGTAGCTATCTTCTCCCTCAGCCAGCTGGCAAGGGGGAGTGAGATCAGAATCTCTAGGGTGACGGACTGCTCTCCCCATACTGCCGGCATTATTGGAGTAAATGCTCATATATGATTCAATCCTGTCTCTGCTTAATTTGGTCCAAGTAGTGACAGGCAGCCTCGGGTCCATTGTGTCTGGTTTCACTAACAGAATACATTCTGCAGCCCATGAATCAAGAAGTAATTTTAACTTTCAGGTCTTACTATTTAAGAAGTATATGTCATAAGGCTATAGCTGACACAGATGTTGATTTCTCTGATGGATCTGGGCCAAGTAGGTTGAAAACCTTCTGAAAAAAATTCATCGTTGTAGATGCAATTCTCTTTTGACATTACCTTCTTATTCTAGCAAAATCCTCTTTATCGTCCCCACTTCTCATTCTAGTTTCTTGTGAGGGTACTGTACTCTTACTAGCTCTATTTTTTTTTTTAACCCCTGTTCACTGGACAATGTACACAAATTGATTGCTTTTCTAATTACTCCCTGGTCATCTCTCTCGTTACTATAATTACTAACCTCTTTGTTGATAAACCCATTGGACACTTCCTAGATCTCATCTTACATAGGAAGAGATTTCCAAAAAAACAGACATCAGCAGATGCCAATGACAATGAGGCAAGCAATACCCCAGAGAGTACATCAGAATGAGAGCACAAAAGCCAAATCATTCTATCTGTCCTTTGAGCAACAGAAATGTCTTGCCACATTCTCATTAGCGGAACCATTTATGGTGTCTCACAGGATAATGCAAAAACAGACTCCTTGGAGGAGACTGCTAGCCTGCCTGTCTGTGACAAGGAGGATGTGAAAACCCCTTGTTCAGGCTGCTCTATGAATCAAGAGCCTTGTGTATCCACATATAGATGCATAATGGTGTCTGAACATTTTCTTAAGTTAGCAATTATTTTCTCTAGTTAAGGGTAGTCTGTGGGTAGGGACAAAATGGGAGACAGTGTGGGTCCTGCACATGGCCACATATGTACCCTTGGGAAAGAACAGCTCTGCCTTCTGCTGTAGGTTCCTACCCTGGCAATTCCCCTCAAAGGGAGTTTTTAATTTTCTTCCTTTAGTTTCCTATTCCCTGGGATCCAGGCGTGGAGGTTCATAGAAATAATGTCACCCACTGCTGTCAGGGAAAGGGCTAGGGGTTCTTGACAAAATATTTTAATTATCAGCCTTTACCCATGGAATGCCAGCACTGGTCAGGCCAAAATTCCGGTTGAGTGAGGCTGAAATAGGGACAAAGTTTCCTGCCTAAGATAATCTGGAGCACTCAAAGCAAGACGCACAGCCAAGTCTGTCCTATTGAAAAAGCATAAGCTTGAATGAAACAAAACCAAGTCCAAATGATGAAACGCGGGGCCAGAACAAAGCACCAGAGTGGGAAACTAGACAGAGATGGGGCGGTTAGCTTGACTAAGTGAACCAGAGTGGAATATAGCAGACAGGTAGCAGTCAACCATTTGCTAGTGTAACCCAGGCAGATCATTGTAGGTGTTATTCTAACAATTGGGAACGAAAGAGGTTTTTCTTTTGGCCAAGAAGTCTCATATTTAGTGGGATGTGTTTTTTTTTGTTTTTTTTTTTAAAAATATATTTTATTGATTTTTTACAGAGAGGAAGGGAGAGAGATAGAGAGCTAGAAACATCGATGAGAGAGAAACATCGATCAGCTGCCTCCTGCACATCTCCTACTGGGGATGTGCCCGCAACCCAGGTACATGCCCTTGACCGGAATCGAACCTGGGACCTTTCAGTCCGCAGGCCGACGCTCTATCCACTGAGCCAAACCGGTTTCGGCTAGTGGGATGTTTTAAAGAAGAGAGTATAAAGCCAACAGATCCAGGTTTTGAAATACAGCACTTAATTAAAATAGCATGACATTCATAAACAAAAATATAATCTAAAATCTGGAAAGAGAATGTGGGTGAAAGACTTAGATTAGAAATGTAGGAATGGGGGAAACTGACATATAAGTCTACTTAAAAGCACTGTACTAGAGAATGGAACACCAAATCCTTAGGAATACACACCTTTAGAAGAATAAGGAGGGAGAGAAGGTAGTACAGGAGCAGGTAAAGATGCAGGAGAAAGATTGAAAGAGGCAAGAATAGTGTATATCATGAACCAGGATGGAAGAAAATTTCAAAAAAAAATAAAGTCAACACAGTCAAATACAAGATCACAGGAGACAATAACTGTGGTTTGTAGCCAGTAGATTTGACTGGAAGTTAGTGGTAATCTCCCAGAAAAAAATTTTAGTAACACAAGCAGGATCTATCACTAAGGTGAGCACGAGAATAAGAACCAGGGCTATGGGCTTTAGACAATTTTTAAAAGTTTGATAATGAAAGAAAAACGAAATACTGAAAAGTAGGTAAAAATGGCAGAGATACGGAAAAGAAAGATTTAAAGACTACCAAGAGAGGATGTGTAAATAAAAAATAGAAAATGCTATGTGGAGGTTTGCAACATCAAGGTATTTATGTACATTCAAAATAACACCTTCAAAATAACTTTTGTGTTGTGCTAATTTTTAAATAATAAGTATATATTATCTGTTTAATCAGAAAAAAATAAGAGAGCCATTTCCACTTTGTGAAAAAGTCAAATATGAACTAGAATTTTAAGAAGTGTTCGGTATTCTTTAAATCCAGAGAGAGATATTTGTAGCACACTCAGTTGAGTATTTCAAAAGTGACTGTTTCCCTTCACTCAATTGCAAATATTAAAATGCTTGCTTCTCACCTGGACGAGTGTCCAGTGGGCTGTCTCTTTCCATCATGCACTGCTCTTCTTGCTCCAACTGAGTGATCACCTCTGGCTTATACAGTTGATGACCTATTCATGGGGGGAAAATGTATCTCAGAAATGTATACTGGAAACAAAGACATTTTTAGTCTTGAAAGGCAGCAAAATAAAGGTGCCCGCCTCCAACTCAACAAAGTCAAGACTTTTTACCTGAGGAGAAAGAGCAGGACCCAAAGGTCTCTGTCTATGAAACTGATTAGCATTCTTCTGTCCCTGCCTGAACTATAATCACAAAAGCCTTGGGGGTTCTCACTACTTGAGAAAATAGAGTAGTCCCCCCTTATCCTTGGTTTCACTTTTTACAGTTTCAGTTACCCACGGTCAACCGTGGTCCAAAAATATTAAATGAAAAGCTCCAGAAACAAACAATTCATAGTTTCATTTTTTTTTTTTAATATATTTTATTGATTTTTTTACAGAGAGAAAGGGAGAGGGATAGAGAGCTAGAAACATCGATCAGCTGCCTCTTGCACACCCCCTACTGGGGATGTGCCTGCAACCAAGATACATGCCCTTGACCGGAATCGAACCCGGGACCCTTGAGTCCGCAGGCCGACGCTCTATCCACTGAGCCAAACCGGCCAGGGCCATAGTTTCATTTTTTATTTATTTTTATTATCTTTTTAACTTTAAAACATATTTTTATTGCTTTCAGAGAGGAAGGGAGAGAGAGAGAGATAGACACATCAATGATGTTTGAGAATCACTGATGGGCTGCTTCCTGCACGCCCCCTACTGGGGACCAAGAATGTGCCCGACCAGGAATCGAACTGTGACCTCCTGGTTCATAGGTCAGTGCTCTACCCCTTAGGCAAACTAACTGGGCTATTTTTTTTTTAAATTTTTAAATTTATTGGGGTGACATTGGTTAATAAAATTATATAGGTTTCAAGTGTATAGTTCTATGATGCATCATCTGCCTACTGCATTGAGTATCTACCACCCAGAGTCAAATCTCCTTTCGTCACCATATATTTGACCCCTTTACCCTTTACTACCTCCCATCCCTCTTCCCTCTGGTAACCACCATGTTGTCTGTGCATATGAGGTTTTGTATATTTGTTTGTCTTATTTGTTCATTTGTTGCTTTCAGTTTTATATCCCACATCTGAGTGAAGTCATTTGGTTCTTGACTTTTTCTGACTTACTTTGCTTAGTATAACAGTCTCAAGATCCATCCATGTTCACCATACTGTTGTCTGTCTATGAGGTTTTTGTTGTTGTTGTTTAATCCTTTCATCTTTTTCACACCCCCACCCCCTACTCCCTCCCCTCTGACAGCTACGAGTCTGTTTCTATTTTGTTTGTTAATTTATTTTGTTCATTAGATTCCACATACAAGTGAAATCGCATGGTGTTTGTCTGTCTCTGACTGGCTTATTTCACTTAGCATAATACATTCCAGAAACTGTGATAAAATCTTGCACCATCACCTCTGTCCCGCCCAGGACATGAATCACCCCTTTGTCCAGCATATCCACACTGTAGATGCTCCAGGCCCATTAGTCACTTAGTAGGCATCTTGGTTATCAAACCAACTGTCTTGGTAACAAAGTGCTTATGCTCTGGTAACAGTTACTTTACATAATTATGGCCCCAAAGCACAAAGGTAGTGATGCTGGCAATTCAGATATGCCGAATAGAAGCCATAAAGTTCTTTCTTCAAGTAAAAAGGCGGAAGTTCTCAACTTAATAAGGAAAGAAAAAAATTATATGCTGAGGTTGTTTAGATTTGTGGTAGGAGCACATCTCCTATCCATGAAATTGTGAAGAAAAAAGAAATTCATGCTAGTTTTGCTGTCACACCTCAAACCACAAAAGCTATGGCGAGAGTATGGAAGTGCTTAGTTCAGATGGACGAGGCATTAAACTTTATCATAGATATGTATGAATAGGAAAAGCATAGTATATGTAGGATTCAGTGCTAGCCATGGTTTCAGGCATCCCCTGCAGTCAAGGAGGCGGGGAGACTACTATAAACCCATTGGAATGGCTTCCAGTTTTACAAGGTCTCCCTCCTTACCCAGAGCGACCAGATTCCTGTAGTTTTCTAGCATCACATCTCGGTAGAGGTTCTTCTGAGCAGGGCACAGCTGGTCCCATTCCTCTCCGGTGAAGTCCACAGCCACGTCCTGGAATGTCAGGGACCCCTGAAACATCAAGTATATCCCTGCTCAGCCAGAAACAGTTTTTTAAAAAACCGGGCCCTCAGGGGAAGGAGCAAAGGTACAGCAGGAGACAAAGGTTAGGCTGTGTAAGCCGTTGTGCTGAGAGTCTTCAGGGCCCTGAGTAATCCAGGTCAAAATTTTGAAACAAGACTCAGTGCCTATCTCTCTATCATCTTTCAAGACAGATAAAAACATACACAAAGTAATGCTTGTTTTTCAGCTTTTTATAATCTGTTGTAGGGGAATCTCAGACCATCTAAACAATTAAAAAACAATATGGGAAATTCATGCCATAAGGTTTTCGAAGTGACAGAATTCAGGATATGTTGAAATAGTGAAAGTAGGTATCGAGTTGGTGTATCTTGTGTAGTCCTTAAAAGTTTTAAGATTTGGACAAAAGAGGAGAAAGGATATTTCAGTGTCTTAAAAAAAAAAAAGTGAAAATAACCAGGGCAAATAGGTTAAGAGTAAAAGGTATATGATGCATGTCGATATCAGTAAAAGAAACTGTCTTGAGCCAAAACCGGTTTGGCTCAGTGGATAGAGCGTCGGCCTGCGGACTGAGAGGTCCCGGGTTCGATTCCGGTCAAGGGCATGTACCTGGGTTGCGGGCACATCCCCGGTGGGGTATGTGCAGGAGGCAGCTGATCGATGTTTCTCTCTCTTCGATGTTTCTAACTCTCTCTATCTCTCTCCCTTCCTCTCTGAAAAATCAATAAAATATATTAAAAAAAAAAAGAAACTGTCTTGTTACAGGTAGGAATTTCAAATAAGAAGGGCAACATCTATATTTCCTCCATTATCAATGCTGCCTAAGCAACCTTTTTGCTCTAAGAGATACAGACATACTGACACACAACCTACGTATACCTCCTTCTCCTTCCTTCCTAACACTCCCCCACCCCAATACAATCCATTTCATGGGTACAATAATTCCAGTTATTTAAGAGTGTGGTGTTCCAAACAAGTGCTCTTTCCTAAAAGTTAAGATTCAATATTTCAGGACAGTATTGGTCTTTACACTTGTTTAGCATATGCCTAAAACTCGTTTCTACTTCCTTTTATAACTTCTATATATCCTCACATTTCACTTTAAATTTTGCTTCTCCACAGAGTTCTTCCCTGACTCCTTAATGCACATTCACAGCACCTTATTCTTACTTTGTATAATATACATCTCAATTTGCAATTTATTATTATATTTGCTGAATGACTGTCTCTGTTAGACTATAAGCCACTTGGGCTTAGGACCATGTTTGTTTTGCTCACTGACATATACCTGATGCCACACATAATTTCTGGCACACAGTAGCTGCTCAGTAATATTTGTTGAAGGAATGAATCATCTACTTTCGTAACACAATAGATGGTTCTGGAAAATTAAAACAAACTTCTCTGGCTAGAATGCCAAGAGGCACATATGCCACATTAGTTCGCAATGTCTTTTCGTTCCTGTCTGTGGAGAGCTTTATAATTAAGCATAAACTGAATGAATCTATTCCTTGCAGACCCAAGATCCCAAAGTACTAATGCACCAAATAAGTGCTCAGCTCTAGCTACTGGTCTCCTTATTGTCTTAGCTCTTTCTCAAGTTTTATTTCCTTTTGCAATGGTTCAGTCTTCTCTAATTTCCAAACCCTACTTGATATCAGCACAAGTTAAAACTCTACCTTCTTCATGAAGTCTTCCCTCGTCCCTCCAGTTTCAATCAGATTTCTCCCTTCTCTGAGCAATTCTTGTATTTGTTATCTCTTGTATGCATAACAGCATCCAGCATTCTACTTACACTTTTTGAATATTAAGTGTGTGATGTAGGCATTTAAAAATCTCTTCCAATGAGTTTATTTGCTATGTACAGATAATGATTATCTCATAGAATTTGGAACAATAGAAGTCCTCTATGTGAAGCAACTAAGACTGGTATCTCATGTGTTAAGCAAAAAAGCTGGTTAAAGTAGAGATCCATAAAAGATATCTTTAAACATATTATTTTAATTTAAAATATATACATGTATATTTTTGGCTAACCTTTTGGTGTAAAGCGAACCTTTGTCTATGAGAGTGATTTTAATGACTAAGTGTCCATACCCATAATGTATCAGTTTCTGGTTCATTAAAGTGGAACAAGCAAATGACACCTGGGAAATAATGTAGGCATAGAATCCTCTGAGATTTTTATGATTTTTCCATCTGTGTTTTACAGTTTTGCTCACACCTAATTTGACAGCAATTTTTAAAAAATGGCATTTACTGAATCTTTCCAAAACATTCAACTAGTTTTCCTAGAAACAAACAGTTATATCTCTTCAGTTTACATAATATTTAATCAAACTATAGAATTGTTAACAACAGGTTTGGGGGAAGCTATAACGGGTTCTGGATAAAAATTAACTTGTGGCAGCAGATGTCCTCAGGCGTACTGGGTAATGCTATTAGTTCCAAGCAGTCACAGTGACCTGAGCATCATTCATTGCTTACAGTGTGGTTGGAATTCTGGTGAGCTGTGTAAGTGAAGGGTGATTATAAGGCAGTCTATGGCTTCTTTTATTTTATTTATTTATTTATTTAAAAATATATTTTATTGATTTTTTACAGAGAGGAAAGGAGAGGGATAGAGAGTTAGAAACATCGATGAGAGAGAAACATCGATCAGGTGCCTCCTGCACACCCCCTACTGGGGATGTGCCCGCAACCAAGGCACATGCCCTTGACCGGAATCGAACCTGGAACCCTTGAGTCCGCAGGCCAATGCTCCATCCACTGGGCCAAATCGGTCAGGGCTTTATTTTATTTTATTTTTCAACATCTAGCACTGACATGAGTACTTGTTTTGATAAAAATGCTGGAGGGAAAAAGCTATAAAGGAGTATATAAGGTGGATGGAGAACATCCAATAGAGATAATCATCTGTCACAAGAGTTTAAAGGGCTCTGGAGTTTGGGGGCTTAGCACTTCTGAGAATAGAAAAGTAAAAGTGCCCACATTCTGAGGACTACAATAGTATTTCCGAGGACAGTAAAACTAAACTTACCTTGGACCTGACTATCTGTGGCCTATCATTCATTTCCTTCTCTTCCATGTTCTCCTCTTGAAAAGGTACAGCATTCTAAGAAGGCATAAATGGGAAAAGAGAAAAAAAAGCATCTTGTCAATACATGGTATTAAGATTGAACCTAGCCCTGGCTGGTTTGGCTCACTGGATAGAGCGTCGGCCTGGGGACTGAAGGGTCCCAGGTTCGATTCTGGTCAAGGGCATGTACCTTGGTTGCAGGCACATCCCCAGTAGGGGATGTGCAGGAGGCAGCTGATCGATGCTTCTCTCTCTCGATGTTTCTAACTCTCTATCCCTCTCCCTTCCTCTCTGTAAAAAATCAATAAAATATATTTTAAAAAATTGAACCTACACTTGGAGCTTTTGCTTTGTGTTAGGATGACAGACAGTTTATTTATTTTAAAAATATATTTTTATTGATTTTTACAGAAAGAGGAAGGGACAGTGAGAGAGGAAGGGAGGAGAGATGGTGGGGAGGGGAGAGAGAGAGAGAGAGAGAGAGAGAGAGAGAGAAGAGAGAGAAACACCAATCAGATGCCTCTTGCATGCACCCCAACTGGAGTGCCCTGAATGGAAATCAAACTGGTGACTTTTTGGTGCACGGGATGACGTTCAACCAACTGAGCCACAACCAGCCAGAGCTATCTTCCACTTTTATTGCTATTTCCTATAGTTATTTAAAATCATTTAATGTCTCTTCCAAATTAAAAACCTTCACTGGCTACATAACCCTTTGCAACCACCATCCTTTCTTTTTCAAGACAACATTCTTCAAAGGATTGTCCATACTTGTGTCTACATCCTCATTACCCACTGATTTTTCAATTCTCTATGATGCTGCTTCTGTTCTGCTATCAGAACTCCACTGAAATTTCCCTGGTTAGTAATATAAAAAAACCCTTAGGTTGCTCATGCAGTAGACTTCATTATTTAAAGGGTTGAAGGTATCTGATATTGCTGACAGCTGGTCTTGCTTTACTTCCATGGTCTCTCTCATTGGGTTATGCTCTAATCCCTTTTCCTCTGCCTACCATTTATATATTGTTTTTCCTTATAATTTTCCAAAATCTATTCTTGTCCTCTCCACAGTGGAAAGAAAGAAATCTTTAAAATATATAAACCATATCTAAAAAGAAGAGTTCACTTTCTCAAATGTCAAGGCAGAGAAACAATCCATCAACCATGAATAACCATGGTAACAAATTAGCTCAGAAAGAAAATGAAAACTCTCCAGAAACAAAACTAAAAAACATGGAAAACTGTGATTTAAATGACAGAGAATTCAAGATTGTAGTTTTGAAAAAACTCAATGATACAGAAGAAAACTCAGAAAAGCAGTTCAATGAGATCTGGAATAAAACAAATGAACAAAAGAAGTACTTTACCAAAGGGATTCGAACTATAAGATGAACCAAACATAAATCCTGGGGCTGAAGAACTAAATAAATGAGATGAAGAATAAATTAGAGAGCACGGGAAACAGAGACGACCAGATGGAAGAGAGAATTAGTGAGCTCTAACACAGAAATGTAGAAATGACTCAGGTGGAGGAAGAGAGGGCACTGAGAATTAAAAAAAGAAAGATGGAAAAACTCTATGAGAACCATTTGATTCCACTAGAAAAAGCAATATAAGAATGATGGGTATGCCAGAAGGAGAAGATGGGAGAAAAGAACAGAGAGCCTATTCAAACAAATAATTAATGAGAACTTCCAAAACCCAGGCAAAGAGCTGAACTTTTGCATTCAGGAAGTTTTCAGAACACCTAATTATCTCAATGCAAAAAGACCTCCAAGACCCATTAAATTAAAGCTGTCAGAAGGTAGTGACAAAGAAAGAATTCTCCAGGCAGTAAAGAAGACAGTAACCTACTGGTATAAAGGAGATCCCATTAGATTATCATCATATTTTTCAGCAGAAACCTGACATGGTAGGAGAGAGTGGAATGAAATATTTAAAAATTCAAGAGAGAAACTAGCAGCCATGAATAATATATCCAGAGAAGCTACCCTTTATATATGAAGGAGAAATAAAGACTTTTCCCGACAAAAGCTGAGGGAATTTACCACAAGCCCTGTATTACAAGAAATGTTGAAAAGAGCTCTTCTACCAGAAACAAAAAGATATGAAACTCTGAGTCAGACTGCAAACACACAAAGGAAGGAAATTACAACTCTATTTCAGAATAGGGTTTTAATTATTTAATTATAGTATAATGGTTAAAAGGGAAAAGCACTTAAAGGTCTCTAATTTCTGCAATTTGGAAATGAACACAGAGCACAAAATGGAATAATTTGTTACAACAAGAACATAAAAGATAAAGGGGAAAGGGCTGAACTTGCATAAGTGAATGAAGATGAAGCAATCAGAAAAAAGGACGATTGTTATATTTGAAACTTTTTTTACATAACCTAATGATAACCACTCACATACACAAATCTGGAGTTGAGACACATAACATAAAAAAAGATAAACAGAGGAAAACCTCATAGAAAGTCACCAAACTAATATAGCAGACAGAAACACAAGAAACAAAGAGACAATGGAGATACAGGGCCACCAGGAAACAAAAACTAAAATGGCTGTAGTAAATCCTCGTATATCAGTAATCATCCTAAATGTAAATGGACAGAACACACCAATCAAAATGCAAAGTGTAGTGGGGGAAAAAAAAGACCCAACTATATGCTACCTTCAGGAGAACCATCTCAGCTACAAAGACAAACATAGGCTCAAAGTGAAAGGGTGGAAGATAATACTTCAAGCAAATGGCATCCAGAGAAAAGTGAGTGTATCCGTACTTCGAAAATAATAGGTTTCAAGATAAATGTGACAAGAGACAAAGATGAACGTTTTATAATGTTAAAAGGGACAGTTCATCAAGAAGACATAACACTTATTAGTATATATGCACCAATGCTGGACATACCAAAATTATAAAGCAATCATTAACAGAATTAAAGAGAGAAAAATGACAAAAACACAATTATAGTAAGGGACTTGAATACTCCACTGACAGCAATGGATAGATCATCCAAACAGTAAATAAATAAGGAAATATTAGCCATAAATGACACATTAGACCAAATGGGTGTGATCAATATTTACAGAGCTTTCGATCCCAAAATGACACAATATACATTTTCTTAAGTGCACGTGAAACATTCTCAAGGATAGACCATTTGTTGGGGCACAAAGCTTGTCTCAATAAATTTAAGAATACTGAACTCATACCAAGCATAAAATTTTCCAGAACAAAAATTTCTTTTATGATTCTAGTACAACCTAAATTCTCAAGCTAAATTAGGGCAATGTACAAAAACACAATTCCACATCCTTCCATAGGTGGTACATCTATAATAAATTGTGGTACATCCAGACAATAAGACACCACTGAGTGAATAAAAAAAAGCGAGATAGCAAGCCATGAAAGGACATGCAAGAACCCCAAATGCACAATGCCAAGCAAAGAGGCCAATATAAAAGGGCCACACAGCCCGTCTGGTTTGGCTCAGTGGTAGGGTGTTGACCTATGAACTAGGAGGTCATGGTTGATTCCTGATCCGTGCTCGATCCCCAGTGATTCTATACTGCTTTCCACAGTGGCTGCACCAATCTGCATTACCACCAACAGTGCATGAGGGTTTCCTCTTCTCCACAACCTTGCCAACACTTGTTGTTTGTTGATTTATTGATAACAGGCATTCTGACAGGTGTGAGATGATATCTCACTGTGGTTTTAATTTGCATTTCTTTGATGATTACTGACATTGAGCATCTTTTCAAATGTCGATTGGCCATCTGTATGTCCTCTTTGGAGAAGTGTCTATTCAGATCCTTTGCCCATTTTCAAAACTGATTGGTGGTTTTTGTGTGTGTGTTGAGTTGTATAAATTCTTTACAAATTTTGGATATTAACCCCTTAGCACATGTATCATTGGCAAATATGTTCTACCATTCAGTGGGTTGTCTTTTCATTTTTTTGATGGTTTTCTTTGCTGGGCAAACTTCTATGTAATCCCACTGGTTTATTATTTCTTTTGTTTTCCCTTGCCTGAGGCCGTATGTCAGAAAAATATTGCTATGAGAAATATCCGAAATTTTACTGTCTATGTTTTCTTTTAGGATTTTTATGCTTTTGAGTCTAACATTGAAATCTTTTATAAATTTTTAGTTTATTCTTTTGTATAGTGTAGGAAGGTGGTCTAGTTCCAATTTTTTTGCACATATCTGTCCAATTTCCCCAATACCATTTATTGAATAGACTGTCTTTACCCCATTGTATGTTTTGCCTCCTGTCTCAAATATTAATTGACCATAAAGGTGTGGGTTTATATCTGGGCTCTCTATTCTGTTCCATTGATCTATATGAGTTTTTATGCAAGTACCATGCTGTCTTGATTACTATGACCGTGTAGTGTAGTTTGGTATCAGGTAGCATGATTCCTCCAACTTTGTTCTTATTTCTCAAGATTGCTGTGGCTATTCTTTTGTGTTCCATATAGACTTTTGGAAGATTCATACTACTTCTGTAAAATACACCACTGACAGGAATTGTGCTGGCTCTATAGATTGCTTTGAGTAATATGAACATTTTAATGATGTTAATTCTTCCTATCCATGAACATGGTATATGCTTCCACTTATTTGTATCTTCTTTCTTTCCTCAGTGTCTTATAATTTTTTGAGTACAGGTCTTTCATATCATTAGTTAAATTTATTCCTAGGTATTTTATTCTTTTTGAAGCAATTGTAAAGGAGATTGTTTCCTTAATTTCTCTGATAGTTTACTATTGTAAAAAAGTGCAACTGATTTCTGAGTATTTATTTTGTACCCTACTATTTTACTTAATTCAGTAGTTGTAACCTGTCTATTCAGATTCTCTGATTAATGTTAAAAGATTATTTCTAGAAATTTATCCATTTCGTCCAGATTGTCCAATTTGTTGGCACATAGTTGTTTGTAATATTTTCTTACAATCCTTCATATTTCTTTGGTGTCAGTTGTTACTTCTCCTCTTTTGTTTCTGATTTTATTTGCATCCTTTCTCTTT